CCCCCTTCTCTTCTACCAGGATTCCTCAAGGTTTAGTCCTCATCATCACCCCTCAATCTGAATCCTTGTTCTTGCTAATTCTTGATTATTGGGCTGCTCATTTTCTATGGACACCATTCCTTTCTCAACTCCACAGATGTAATTGCCTCTTTCTCTTTGTTTCTAAAGCACCATGAATACGAGCTTTAAGCACAGGAAATCTTTCACTGGATGGGCAAGATGGAGGAAAGCTAAATATTCACAGGATAGGGAACAAATTTAAAATGAGTATTGAGCATCACTGTTTTGAAATACTCCTCAAGAAGTTTTTCTCTCTGGTTAGCCCCCCAGGTTGCCATCTTTCCCTTATTGGCCCCTCTCCTTTTTCTCTGAAGTTATCCCATATTCAGTAAATTTAGCTCTTTGCTTCCTATCAAGATCATTCCCAAAGCCCTCATTAAAATAAATAAATAAAGTCCAAGTCCATCAAGTTGTTTCTGATCACAAGAGAGCTATGGGCTTCTGAAAAGAGTGTAAATTGCATTTCTCTTTTTAAATTAGAATTTTGCCCTCATTACATATAGTTGGAAAGTAAGAAATGACTCCTAAGAACTAGTGACTTGGGGATAGGTCTGAAATCATAAAGAAAGATCCAACAGGCTATTAAGTTGGAAAGGTTCTGTACCTGGTTAGACCCTGGGGGAGGTGGAGCAAAGGAGGAGGAGTTGAGCTTAATGATAGTGAATGGCACATCATGAAACAGAGATTCTAAGAATGGGAAGGCACAAAGGTGGGAAGGGTAAGGGTATGTAAAAGTTGGTCTCCAAAAGGGTATGTAAAAGTGATAGTTCTGTTGGGGGCTTGGTGAGTTTGAAGTGCCTATGGAACAACAACTAGAGATGTCCAACAAATAATTGAGAATTCAAATTTCAAGAGAGCGATTAGATGGGAAGAGTCCGTGTCCCAGAATCTAGGGAGAAGTCTTGATCCCGAGGATTATGTGGAGCAATGAAAGGAGTTTAGAGTAGGGAAAAAATAAAAGCAAATTTAAGCCTCAGAAAATATTGTGTAAGGAGATAACATTTGTAGACTAGAGTGGCAAACTTAATGTTGACAAAGGGAAGGGGAAGTACAGTGCTCTGTACACTGTAGGGGTATAAATAGACCCTTGTCTCAGAGAGAAGTTTGGCAATGTTGGAAAAGAAATGAAGAGATACAGAATCCTGGTGCCTAGAGCTACCTGAACTCAGGCTTCCTGATTGGATAAAATGTCTGGTGTTAGGAAATCTGGAATGACAAAGATGAAAGGCAAAGACCCAGGTAGGTGCTCCCAAGAGCCAGTTCTTTTCCCAACTCACCATCCAGTGGCATCACGTTAGCAGCTTGAAACTGTCTATGAAGTATGTAACACTACAAAAAGCAGCAAAGCCTACAAAACAGGACTCCCTCCTCTCTGAGAGCCAGTTTTACAGCACTCTACTGAGCCTGTCCTCATCCAGCAACCCCTAAAGTTACTGAACAATGGCTACCCAGAGATCAAATGCCAGCTTTCAAAAACCAGGACTTTGGCCTTATATTCCAAAAGAAAAGGCTAGGCCTGATAAACTGGGCTGAACCTTAAAGAGTCTTCAACTTTTTAGCCAAAGTGGGAAGATCCACATGGCCTCCTTTTTCCTAGGCCTAACCCAGTTCCTGCTTGATTTTCTAAAGAAGCAAAGGACTGGGGAAGGCAGCTTTTTCTAGCTATGTGAAAGTAGGAGGGAATGGGAAAATGACAAGGACAGGTAGCTGGGCCTCATCCCATGGAGGAGGAACATTCCTAATGTCAACTCTTTGACAGTCACAGACAAGCCCCATATGGGCTCTGCACCCTTAATCACTATTATACTGCTTCCCTGTAGAAGTCATAGGACTTGGAAAGGATTTGGATGCAAGAGTAGAAGGAGAATAAAGATTTGATAATCACTCTCTGGTTTCAGACTTAGATGGCTGGGTAGCCTATATGAGATGCAGAACATAGGAAAAAAGATCCAAAAGGGCATGTGAAAATTAGTAATAGTTTTGTTTAGCACTTGGTGGGTTTGAAGTGCCCATGGGAAAACAAATAGAGATTTCCAAAAAGTAATTTGAGAACTGAATTTCAAGAGAGTGATTAGGACTTTCTGGTGTATACAACAAATTGAAGTCATACGATCACTTAGGGCTAAGCAAGAACACCTGGGGAACAGCAATATTTAAAAGAAAGAGAAACCACCGAAATAAACTGAGAGGGAATGTTATAGTAGGTGGGAAGAAGCCAAGATAATGTGACATTGTACAGCCTAAGGGGAAGAATACTGAATGTTGCAGAAAATTTGAGTTCAATGAAGATGAAGATGAGAGACACAATGTTTATTGTGGCTGGTGGAGGATGAAGAAGAAAGTCATAGAAGATGAGGTTCAAGCAGGCAGGGGCCAGATCAGATAGGGCCTTGTGTGCCATTAGCAGGCATGTGAATTATATTCTAAGTGCAATGGGAAGTCTTTGGGGGATTTTAAGAGGGGAGTGAAGACATTAGATGTGTTTGTTGTTTTTTTTTTAATTATAGGTGGACACAATAACTTTTTTTTATTTTACGTGGTGCTGAGGATCGAACCCAGTGCCTCACTCATGCCAGGTGAGCGCTCTGCCTCTGAGCCACAGCCCCAGCCCTGGATGTGTGTTTTAAACATCAGACTATTGTATGGAAGATGGATGGAAGGAGTAAGAGCGGAGGCAAGGACACCAGTTAGAAAGCTACTGCGGTAACACAGACATGGACCAGGATGGGAGGAGAAGGGGTAAAAAAATGTTCAGGTTTAGTGCACACTTGGAAGGAAGTGCAGGACCTACTAATTAATTGGATGTAGGTTAAGAGAAAGATAGGAATCAAGGAGTAATGAGCTTTTGGGTTTGATCAACTCAGTAGATGGAGTTGTTATTTACAGAGGTAGGCAAGAGATAGGAAAATAGGGGTAGGAAGGATAGTAGATTGAATCAAATATTATTACCTTATGTATATATATAAACTATGCATCTGATGGCATTCCACATCATGTACAACCAGAAGAATAAGAAATTATACTCCATCTATGTATGATATATCAAAGTGCATTCTACTATCATGTATAACTAATTAGAACAAATTTTTAAAAACACAGTATATAAAAAATGGGGGGGGGGACTGGGGATATATCTCAGTTGGTAGAGTACTTGCCTTGCATGCACAAGGCCCTGGGTTAAAAAAAAAAAAGTAGGAAAACAAAGTTTCGGAAGTGAGAACCAGAATCAAGAGTTTTCTTTTGCCTTTTTATTTATTTATTTATTTATTTATTTATTTATTTTGAGATGGGGATCTTATTCTGTTGCCCAAGCTGGTCTTGAACCTGTGGGCTCAAGGATCCTCCCTCGGCCTTCTGAGTAGTTGGGACTAAAGGCATATATTACCACACCTAGCTTGGCCATCATAATTGTAAGATGTTTATTAGACACACAAATGGAGAAGCCAAGTAAGCAGTTGGCCACTAAATCTGGGGCCCAGAGGAGTATTCACTTAGCATCCAAAGCTGTGGACTGCATGAACATTAAAGTTGTGTTTCCTCTCTTCCTTGATCTGATAGAAGTTGGGTAGCCCTTGATTGGAGACTGGGGCAGAGGGAGGCATCCAAAGTCATTACCATTGGTCTTTGTAATCTGAAGGATGACAGGGCTAATGACAAACCTGGATCAGGGACAACTTGCCGAAAAATGGTGCCAGAGAAACTAAGACTTCACAGGAGGGCGGAAACACTTCCCTCTACCCACCCCTCCCCTGTTGAAATTCCTTTTTAGTAAAATTAATTCAGAAGGCGGAAGATAGAAAGATGTGAGGACACCTGGTCTGCAGGAGCCAGCAATGGAAGCCCCAGTTGAGGTCAAGGGGTTAAATGTAGGAGTTAACATGGCTATGCATACTCCTCCCTCCCAATCTGCCCTTCCCTGCCTAAGCCAGCATCTGAATTCCCAGAGTCAGAATAGGAACCACCAGTGTGCCCAGGAGGCTTTGGCCTCCATGAAGAGATCATAACTACTACTCTGGTACCAACACGAAGACCAATACAAGCTAGGTTTGAGACCAAACATCCCTGATTCTGAGCAAGCCAGATGGAAATACTGAAGATCATCTCTTCACAAACTTTATCAAATTGTCTGGGGATTTTGGTGAATGCAAGTTCTGTTTTAGCAGGTCTGGGGCAGGGCCTAGAATTTCGCATTTTATAAAACTCCCAGTTCTGCTGTTGCTACTGTCTATAGACCACTTTGAGTAGAGTGACCAGAGGCTTCTGTGGAGGCCACCCACAATGGAGATGGCATGCCTAGATCCAGGGGAATGTGTTTATGTATGCATAAAGTCCAGAACCTATTAAAATGCAAATACCCACCATCTGTCATGGTTGTGAGCCAGATAGTTATTTCTTGACTAATTACATCTGCCAGAAGCATTACATGGCTGTTAAGCACTTGGGTTCTGAATGTTGACCTTCTGCAATTTACCTCTGAGGAGTATATGATCATAGGCAAATCGTCTCTGCCTCTCCATTTCCTCATCTTTATAATGGGAATAATAAGACTATTGTGAAGATGAAATGAGTCAATAGATTTTAGTTAGGTGCCGCTTAGTTAAGTGCTCAGTAAATGTTGCCATTCTTGATGACAGTATGCCCTTCTATAATAGACTCACACATAGACACACACTCAGGCTTATTTTATTTTTTGTGTATAAATATATACCTCCCACCAAAAGGCCTATGTCCTTTTTTTTCAAATTTTTCTTACCCTCCTGCCTACTCCCCCTCCTCTGGCCCCTGGCCCCAGTGTGGTCTGGATGGGCCCCAGCAGGGCAGGGACAGGGACAGGACGTGGGGCTGTATCTGACAGGAACCTGAGGGGCTGGCCTGGGAGGGGATTGGGGCCCAGCTTCCTGAAGGGAGGATGGGCTAGGGCAGGCACACAGTGCCGGAGAAGATGCCCTTTTGGGCCCTCTTCATGGTCACCTCCTGCCTCCTCCTGGTCCCACAAAACCTGGCACAAGTCACCAGCCAAGGTGAGGTGGGTAGAGGGTAGAGATCACCTATGCCCAGGAAGAGGGACTCCTGGGAGGGGATGCAGAGTCCTGGGAGGGGATGTAGGGTAAGAGGTTCCCACTGGTCCCCTACTCACACCTGGAAGGACCCAGAACCCAACTTACCAGCTGTTCCTCAGATGTCTCCTTGCTGGCCTTGGACTCAGAGCCCCTGAGGTGTTTCTCCCAAACATTTGAGGACCTCACTTGCTTCTGGGATGAGGAAGAGACAGCGCCCAGTGGGACATACCAGCTGCTGTATGCCTACCCAGGGTAGGTGCTGGGTTGTACCTCACTCCCCATATATTTGTCCCTGTGGTTAGCTCTGCTGAGTCCCACTCTAAGAGCTTCCCTGTTTGGGGCCCTACTGGAGGACTTACTCTAAGAATACGTGTTAAGTAGTCACCTTATGAACAGCTCAGCTCAAGTCCCTATGTAATTCCAAATCCCAACTATCTCTAGCAGTGAAAAGAAAAATGGCAGTAATGGAAACAGATGTTGGGAATGGGCCAAGGCCTGGGTCCTCAGGGTTGAGTATGGCAATTATGTAGGGAGACTTCTCCTATACCAACAGAGAGAAGCCCCGTGCCTGCCCCCTGAGTTCCCGGAGTATACCCCCCTTTGGAACCCGATATATGTGCCAGTTTCCAGCCCAGGATGAAGTACGCCTCTTCTTTCCACTGCACCTCTGGGTGAAGGATATGTTCCTGAATCAGACTTTGACCCAGCGGGTACTCTTTGTGGAAAATGTTGGTAAGGGCACCCCTACCACCCTGGCACCCCCATTTGTTGCTTGCATTCCAGCTCCTAGAATCAGACTTGCCTGCAGCCTTTTGAGACAACGTGGATGCCCCTCATTACCAGATTCCCAGAGGCATCTCAAGATCCTGTGATCATCCCTCCCAATCTTGGCATCCAAATCTAGATTTGTCTCAAAAACCATTTCACACCAAGGACATCCAGTCCCCTCATCATTAATATATTCATTGAGTCATTCATTCTACAGTTACAGAATACCTACTGTATGCCAAGTACTATGCTAGATGACAAGGATACAAACATGAAAAGAAGTTCACAGAGCAGTCTAACAAACTATTACATCGCAGTGATGTCTCCATTCTATGAGGAAAGCAGGAGAGGATAAAGAGCCTTCCTACCCTGCCATCTCCCCCAAAAGAGTGACAATCTGTGATCTTTTTTTTAACCCAATGGCTACCCTCAATTTAGTACCCCTTTCTGTAGTCCATGGATTGAACCAAAGAACATGGTATTCAAAGTTCTGTTATGCCCTGTTTTGCCCTCAGGCCTGCCATCTCCCCCTAATATCATCAAGGCTGTGGGCGGGAGCCAGCCAGGAGAACTTCAGATCCACTGGGAGGCCCCAGCTCCTGAAATCAGTGATTTCCTGAGGCATGAACTCCGTTATTGCCCCAAGGATCCCAGGAACTCCAGCGGCCCCACAGTAATACAGCTACTCTCCACAGAAACCTGCTGCCCAACTCGGTGGAGGCTGAATGCAGCCTCCTCTCTAGACCAACCTCCATGTGTTCAGTCCATAGCACCCCAACAGGATGGACCAACGCAAACCTCCCCAACTGGAGAAGTATTCTAACCTTCTTCTGCTTCACCTCCTACATCCTATCCTCTATCCTCAGTTTTGCCACAGTAAACATACTTTGGGGACTCAAGACTGGACTGGTTTGGGGGGATTTATTAGCCCTCGGGATTTATTTAGGGGTTTCCCACTTTGAGTCATCCACACTGACAAAATTCAGGGCTGTTAGACCTCCAAAGTAAAGTAAATTTCCCTAAAAATCCCTGAATATCACCTGAAACCCAACAACCTGGCCCCCAGTCTGGATGCATATCTATTCAATAAGGAGCTGAGGTCTGCCCAGGGGTACTGTAGGGCTTCCAGTATAAGGGACAGAGGCTGTCTTGGATGAGAGGCAGGCCTAGATTCTGACACTTGGATTCTTCTCCCAAGGATCCATCTCTGACAGTGATGGGTAGAAGCTGCCTCATCTCTGGCCTCCAGCCTGGCAACTCCTACTGGATCCAGCTACGCAGCCAACCTGATGGGGTCTCCCTCCGGGGCTCCTGGGGTTCCTGGTCCTCTCCTGTGACTGTGGACTTGCCCAGGAATGCAGGTGGGTCAACAAAGAAATGGGTAGATGGGGAGAAGATTAAAAAGTAAAAAAGATCTCTAGGGAGGATTGGGCTGGATATGGAGACTCTAGGAATCATGTCCTTCCTGATGACCTCAAACTAGCCTTTGCACAGGATGAACTCTGGTCAGAGAGAGAAGAGAGAATAAGAATAAATGTTCTATATTGTGTGTATAAAAATGATCCAGATACTCTAAAGAGTAGGGGTACATGGACCTGATAGGACTTACTTCTTTGACTTCAGTGGCAATTGGACTGCAGTGCTTTACCTTGGACCTGAAGAATGTTACCTGTCAGTGGCAGCAACAGGACCATACTAACTCTCAAGGCTTCTTTTACCACAGCAGGACACGATGCTGCCCCAGAGATAGGTAAGAGTCACACTATTGGTTGAATCTGATGTTATGAGAAAAAGACAAATCTGCAGAAAGAGGGAAGAGAGTACTCTTGATCCTTTTCACTCTCCTACCTTGTCCCCAAATTGAACAGCCTCCAGTACCTATTCTCCCATTTCCAATGAGAGCTTTATCTTCTCAACCTTTTTCCATTCTCACTGGTAATGCCTTGGTTTATGTCAGCCTTATTCATGTCATCTGGACCATTACAAAACCTATAGTCTCATTCACCTCCAATTTATTCTCCATGCTGTGGACTAAGTGACCTTTGTTAACATCAAATATTGCACGACCTTTGTAAAACTGTAACTTTGCATGGCCTTTCCATACATAGGTATGTATTTCAGTTTCCCATGATTTGAGATCTGTTAAATCCATACAAAAGTTAGCCTGGCCTTCAAGGACTTCAACCAAACACCTCACTGATCCTTAATCCTCTCCGAATTTATTACCAAGTTTTGTTAATTTTATCTATAAAATATCTTTAGAATATGTACACTTTATCTCTGCCATTGCCCTGGTACAAGCCATCATCATCTCTCACTTGGGCTACTGAAAAGACCTAAGACCTATTAATTAATCACCAAGTCATTCTCTTCATAGAAGCTTGACTGATCTTTCAAAAGTGTAAAAATGAGGACTGGGGTGTAGAGCGTTTGCCTAGCATGTGCAAGGTCCTGGGTTCAATCCCCAGCATTAAAGAGAAAAAGAAAAAAGGAAGGAAGAGAGAGAGGGAAGAAAAAGTTCAAAAGATGAACAAAACACTCCCTACTTTAAAATATTTTGATAGTGGGCTAGGGATGTAGCTCAGTAGTAAAGCTCTTGCCTACCATGCACAAGGCCCTGGGTTCCCTAGTACCAAAAAAAAAATAAAAAGTTAAAGTCCTTGATAGCTTTTCACTGATGTTAGAATGTACTGAAGCCTTATAAAATTCTAAAAAACCCAGCCCCTATATATGCTTTCAGCTTCATCTTATCCTAGCCCCTTTGCGTTCTCTGTCCCAGTACTAGCCTTCCCTGGTTCCCTCTATTTCCTCTACATCTTTATCTACGCACGTGTTGTTTTCCAGCTCTTCCATCTTTACTTCTACTTATCCTTCAAAATCTCAGGAAACCCTCCTTTATTACAGTTCTTCCTTATTAGATCCAATGGCATGATTATATACTCTTATTGTACCACGTACTTCTTCTTATGTATTCACCACAGTTACAATTTAACATTTATACTTAATATGACCATTCAGTTGATTTTAAAAATTATCTTAGAATTCCAGTTGAGAAAGGCTGATCTTGACTATACATGACCCATTAGGGCAAAGTCAACAAACATTGTTACTCACCAATATATTCTCTCCTACCACAGTGCCAGTAGATACTCAGTTAAAAATTGTTCCAATGAATGAATAATGGAAAATCCACTATTAACAGTTTTAATGTGTTCTTTAGTTTTTTCTATGCATTTATATATGTCTACATACATTTAAAAATATATATTGGATCACATTTATATATATATAATTTGCTTTTTGTTTGAAACCCTGGGGCTTGCGCATGCTGGGCAAGCACTCTACTACTGAGCTACCAGCCCCACATGGTTAACTCACCTTTTTACTTAAATATATATATATATATATATATATATATATATATATATATATATATATATATCTTGGAGCTCATTACAAAAAGCGTTAACTCATTCATTTTTAATAACTACACAGATTTCCAATAATATAGAGGTGCCATGCAAGGATTAAGGATTGACAAAACTGAAGTCATCATTTCTTCTACCAAAACCTGCCCCTTCTCTTTAATGTCCTCCATCCTTCTATATACTCGGTTTCCCAAGCCTGAAATATACAAATTGCCCTGGATTTGCTCCATCCCTCCAGTCTTATTGCTCCTGCCTCTTTAATATTTCTTGGATCATATCTTTCACTCTATCCCTGCTGCTACCACCCTATTTTCAAGCCCTTACCACTTTGCACATTAAAAAAACAAACAAACAAAAAAAAAACCACAACACTGTCCTAATGAATTTCTCTGTTTCTACTCTCCCCTCAAAAATCCTTCCTACAAACTGTAGTTAAAGTGATCTTCCAGAAGTACAAAGGTAATTATGACATTTCTCTGTTTAAAATCCTTAAATGTTTCCAATAATCACTATAAGATTTAAGTTCAAGCTCTTTAGAGAGGCCACAAGGGCATATCCATGACATGTTCTACATTTACCATTTGCCACCAAGCCCTCAATCCTAAAATCATTCCATACCACTTGGAGACTTCTCTAAAGCACACTCTTCTATTTGTGCATGAGTCTGTGCCTGGGATGCCCAATTATTCCTTTGCTCAGCCTATTTATAGTCCAAGATTCAGTCTAAACACCTCCCAGTATGTCAGATGCTCCCCCTAGATGATTTAAAGCCAGTCTGCACATCCCAGAAAAAATAGCATCTGTTTGTTTTTCTATCTCTCCCACTGAAATGAGAGCTCCTTGACAATTATTCCTCTATGTACTCATAGGATAGCATAAGGCCTTTGTACATGGGTATCAATTATTTGTTGAATAAATGAATAAATATATAAATACTCAGAGTGATAATTTTAATGGATGTAGAGTTACTTTTGGAATATAATCAAGAAGGAGATATGATTCATTTGCTCAATAAACAATTATTATTGAGAAGATTATGTGCCAGGTACTGGAAACAGAGTGACAAATAAAATAGAAAAGGTTCTTGGGCTGAGGATGTAGCTTAGCGGTAGAGTGCTTGTAAAAGGTGGGGGAGGTGTTAATTTAGGCTGAGTGCTCAGGAAAAGGCTCACCAGTAACAGGTGAGCTGATATCTACATAGCAAACAGAATGAATCCTGTCCAGACCTAAAGTCAAAGCAATCCAGGGCAAAGACAAAATGCAAAGATGGTGCATTTGGCACATTTGTGGCACAGAAAGAAGGCCCATGGAGATGAAGGGTGCTAAATTGGCATGAGAGTCAGAGATGAATACGGTGAGATAATGAGGCATCAAATCATAATGAGATAAGGATCATTGAAGGATTTTAAACAGAAAAATAACCTGACTTAAATTTTTAAAAGATGTTTCTCTGTGGAATCATAAATAAGAGTGGGAGCAAGGTCAGCAGTTAAAAAATTTGCCTTCATCCAGACAAGAGATAATGGTGGTTTCACCTTATGTGGCAGTGGTAAAGATCAAAATAAACAGATTTGTGATATATTCTGGACATTACCAGAGCAATATTTTTTAAAACAAAATCTGGTAGCCATGTGGAGAACTAACTGAAGATAATGGTGAAAACAGCAGCAGAAAAACCAGTTAGAAGATGGTTGTAATAAACTAATGGCAAATAACCAAATAAGAGAGCTGCTTATGAGAATAAATTTAGAACTCTAAAGATATTTCCCTCCAGAAAGATGAAGACTCTTTAATCTTTGAAACAATCCTGTGAGGTAGGTGTCAACCTATTTTATAAAAGGAAGGAAATTAAAGCAGAAATAAATATTTTGCCCATCATTATAACTAGTAGGCCAAGACCTGAACTCTATAGACTATACTGTTTTCTACTATTTTCATATATCATGCTAGCTCTTTCCTTAAGGGGAAGAGGCTGGATATCAAGACAGAGATAAAGGGAAAGCTCTGGAGGGCTATCCAAGGGAGAAGTTAGATTATAATCCATACAGACCATAATCCTGTATCATGGTGAGGATGGGGATTCGTTTCTGGGGCCGGCCTGATTTAATGACTCTGTGGGACTGGTTCTTAGGGACCCCATGTGGGAGAAGTGTGAAGAGGAGGAGGAAACAAATCCAGGATTACAGCCCCCTCAGTTCTCTCGATGCCACTTCAAGTCACAAAATGACAGTGTTATTCACATCCTTGTAGAGGTGACCACAGCCAAAGGTGCTGTTTACAGCTACCTGGGTTCTCCTTTTTGGATCCACCAAGTTGGTAAGAACTTTCTTCCTCATTCCAACCACACAGCCTCCCCTCCCCAAATCCGACCCTATGTCCATGATTCCCAGTTCTGGCACTTCTGCTCCATGACCCTGTTAGCATGATGTCTCACACACAGAAGGGCTTAAACTAGTCCTGCTAAAATCCCTGTAGTGCTCATCCCCACCCCAAACCTGCTTTGGAGGGAGATCTCCAGTGGGCAGCTGGAATTAGAATGGCAGCACCCATCACCTTGGGCAGCCCAAGAGACCTGCTATCAGCTGCGATACACAGGAGAAGACCATCAGGATTGGAAGGTATGGTCAAGTGACAAATGCCTGCAGAGCTTGATACTGTGTGTTCCTAGGGTTTATTATGTTTCTTATCAGAAGGACTGTGTTGAGTTCAAACTCAATGTATTCAAAACCGAATTCATCTTTCTTCCTGAATGTATTTTGTTTTTACCAAGGTATATTTTATATGAAGTATACAAACTTTAAATGTACAGTTAATCTTTTTTGGGTATACACCCATGCAACTATTACCAAGATCAAGACATAAATTATTTCCATCACCCCAGAATCTCCTTATGCCCTCTACAGTCACCTTCCTATTAAAAGTAATCACTATCCTGATGCAACCGTGGATTCTTTCGACTATAAATTTTGTAAAATAAAACCATCCAGAATTTCTTCTTTAAGCTCTCTTCTGTCCGACACTGGCACTCTTTCTTTCCCCTTACCCCTTCTTCTCCTTACTTATTAACAAGTTGAATAATGTACAAACACTCCTCAGCCTCCTACTAGGACTACTTTTGCCTTCTCTTTACCCATCCATCCTTCCCACTTGTGCTTTCAGCATACTGAACTATTTTGTGACCCCCAACCTAGCAGCACAGGCAGCACTCATGTTTCTTTGTGCTCTCATGGTACCCCCTACTAATTAATTGTTGTGATTATTTACTTGTTTGGAAGTCTCCATCATTAGATATGTGAGAGACGGTTCTATTTATCTTTTTCTACAATGCCTAGTCCAATGTTTGGCATTTCTCAAGCAATTCATAAAGGTTTGCTAAGTGATTAAGTCTCACTGCTCGTGCACATGATACTTGTACCCTCCAGCACCTATGGCAAATCTGGCATCCTTTGCAGCATGAGTGGTACTCGTCCATGGTCCGTGTGGCTGAGTATCTGAGTGTAGGTCTGAGCAGCCATGCCCGACCAGGAATAGTAATAAAAGAACACGGAAGGGGTCTTCATATCTCGGGGTCAGTATGAATGTGAGATCTCTGCGCAGATGTTGGAGCCACCTCTCGGGGCCCGGGGAGGGACCTTGGAGCTGCGCCCGAGATCTCGTTACCACTTACAGCTGCGCGCCAGGCTCAACGGCCCCACCTACCAAGGCCCCTGGAGCGCCTGGTCAGACCCAGCGAGAGTAGAGACCGCCTCGGAGACCGGTGAGCCCGGGCCGGGCGTGGCCAAACCCTTTCTACGGCTGCGCGAGGGGCGGGGCGCTGGTCACAGGGCGGGGTCCTGAGCGCACTGGTCTGAGGCTGCGTGGATGTGCTGTGGGTTCGGTACCCAGGGGTGATCTGGGGTGACCAAGGGTGACTTGAGGGGCGGAGACGCGGCAGGATCTGGCGCGCCAGCCGGGCGGGCCAAGGGCCGGCCGAGATCTGACAGGTTTTGTCCCTAGCCTGGATCTCCTTGGTGACCGCTCTGCTCCTGTTGCTGGGCGTCAGCGCCCTCCTGGGCCTGCTGCTGCTGAGGTGGCAGTTTCCTGCGCGCTACAGGTACCGCCTCCTCCAGGGGCAGAGGTTTCTAAACCATCATCCTGGGGCCACTCCATGACACTTGCTCTCGGACCACCGCACGCCTACACCTATGGCTTCAGCCGTTTCCTGCGTTTCCGGCAGTGACACCCTCTTAACTTGCCCACTCTACCGTTGTCCTCCAACAGCCCTACCTCCTGGCTACTGCCCACCTTTGGCGCAAGCTCAGGCACTTATGCTTCTCCCTCCCCACCCCCACCCCATCCAATGGCCATCAGGTCTGGTCATTCCACCTCCAAAAACCTAGCTCAAACAATGGCTCCCTTTTTGTAGCCCAACAGACACAATCTGACTCACTGAAACGGAGCCTGTTCTTTTCAATCTAGCTTCACACAGCCATCAGAATAATCTTTTAAAAACGCACACATGAGCCTATCTTTCCCCACCTTAAATCTTTTCAGTAGCTCCCCAGGAGAGAATCCAGAATGTGTAGAATGACAGGCAAGGCTCTGCAAAATCTGTTTCCTGCCAGCATGTCCACCATCTTCTACCCTGTGCATCAGCCTTGCCAAAGTGTTGATTTCCTCCACAAGTCAGGCTGTCTTACTTGTCAGTGTCTTTGCACATCATGTCCCTTCTGCCTGGAATATCCTTCCTGGCTGGCTAATACCCATTCATCTTTAAATAGCTTTCTCCACCAGCTCTTAAGAAACCTCCCTTGACCCTCCCTTATTGGCTGCTCTTTTGTGCCCCAATATGGTACCAATAGCATTTTACAGCATTTATTTATTTTTCTGTTTTTGAGTACTGGGGATTGAACCTAGGACCTTGCTAAGCACATGCCCTGCTACTGAGCTATACCCCCAGCCCTGTATTTATTTCTTTGTATGCCTATATTAGACCTTACTTGGTCATTTTTAAGTTCTTAGCACTGTGCCTGCCAAGTAGCAGGCCCTTAAATAAATGTTAGTAATGAGTGACTCACATATGTGGAGGCTGAGGAGAAATGTCACTGGAAATTATAAACACGTAGGATAGAATCCATTCCACCTCAACCCTTCAACTGGTAATATCAGCTCGTTCTTACAGTCTTAGCTCAGAAGTCAGGTGCTCCAGGCAATGTGTTGGGGGCTTCCATCTTTAAACATGTCACTCTGAACTTTTTTATGTTTTTTGTTTGTTTATTTGTTTGTTTGTTTTAGAGATACTGGGATTGAGTCCAAGGCTTTGCACATCCTTGGCAAGTGCTCTCCCACTGAGCTACACCCCTAGTCCCTTCTCTGAACTTTCAACCTGCCTATGTGTATGAACAGACTGGAATGTAGCCTCTATGAAGGTAGAAGGTAATGACAAAAACGTTTGCAGAGAAGAGGGAGAGGGAGCTTCTGAACTAGGCATTCTCAGTTCTTTTTCCCAAACCACTCCTAGGGAGATGGGAGTGAAGTAGTGGAAGAGGCCAGAAATGCCCAGCTAAAGTGTTTCCACATGAAAATGTGAGGCTAAAGAAACTGAAGGATAGGGCTGGGGCTATAGCTAAATGTTAAAAGTTTTTGCTTAAGGAGGATTGAAGTTTGAAACTAGCTTTGGCAAATTAGTGAGGCCCTATGCAACTTATCAAGGCCCTATCTCAAAATAAAAAAATAAATAAATAAAAAGGGCCAGGGATGTGGCTCAGTGGTAAAGAACCCCTGAGTTCAGTCTCTAGAACCAAAAATAAATGAATGAAGGAAGGGAAAATGGACAGATTTGCCTCTTGTGTGAGGCCCTGGGTTTGACTCCCAGCACCAAAACAAAACAAAAATTGGAGGTCCCAACACAGCTTAACCCATGCTCTTCCCACATAGACCACTCTCCCTAGGAATTTAGTAATAAGCTCCACTAGTTCTAATAATTTCTTGAGCACCTATTATCGGCCAGACACTGGAGATTTAGGAGTGAAAAAATAAACTCTTTCTCTCAAAGAGCTTGTGCTATAGTGGGGTAAGACAGCTAAAAACAAATGAATGTAACAATGTAATAAATATGCAATAAGTGCTATAAAGGAAAATAGAGCAGGAAATAGAGTGATGGGGAAAGGAGATGTTACAGTTTTAAGGTAGTCAGGGATGATGTCTCTGTTAAGATTTAGGAGAGACTTAAATGAAGTGAGGGAATAAATTGTGTCCAGGCAGGAAGAAGGGCAAATGCCCTGAGATAGGAATGTTTGAGAAAGCTCTGTGCTACACTTTATACACCAGCTTCCCTCTCCCACCTGAGGTTTTCTTCCCACCTCTACTCCTCTCCCTTACTTTATAGCCTTAGCTATGCTCCTGTCTCTCTGAGGCTTAGCCCTCAGCCTCACTGCCTCCCCCACTGCCCCACTTCAGTGCTTTCCTTATCCCTCCCAACTCACTCCCAAGATTCATTCTCCTTTTCTTCCTTGTTCTCTAGGAGACTGAGGCATGCCCTGTGGCCCTCACTTCCAGACCTTCACAGGGTCCTAGGCCAGTACCTTAGGGATAGTGCGGCCCTGAGTCCGGTGAGTGCACTCTTCTTCCTTCCCTACCTCTTTCCCCATCACCAATGATCCTTGACCCCATAGTGTAACTTGTTCAAGGTCCTTGCCTAGCGGCATACCCACCCCCAGGAACTAACCCCAGTCCAATGCTCCTTTCCACACAATCCAATCCCGCCCCCACCCACCCACCATCTGCTCTAATCCACTCCTTTCATATCTCTCCAGCCCAAGGCCACAGTCACAGATACCTATGAAGAAGTGGAACCCAGCCTCCTTGAAATCTTACCTAAGTCTTCAGAGAGGATTCCCTTGCCCCTGTGTCCCTCCCAAGCCCAGATGGACTACCGAGGATTGCAGCCTTCTTGCCTGGGAACCATGCCCCTCTCTGCATGCCCACCCATGGCTGAGTCAGGGTCCTGCTGCACTACCCACATTGCCAACCATTCCTACCTACCACTAAGCTGTTGGCAGCAGCCTTGCAGGCTGGCTCCTCATTCCCAGTACTCTGGACAGATCTAGACCTCTCTGTGAACCACTCTACCCTATTCTACCCTCCAACACCAACACCTCAGATCTCACTTTCATCCCCCTTTGCCTGCCTACCTAGCTCAACCTCATAGAACTGATCTTTCATGCTGCTGCTGCCAGATCTGGGCCCCTTTCTCCACAGCCAGGCTAATTTCTCTGACTTTTACCCTCTGTCCCCTTGAACACCAAATTCCACCTCTCATTGACTCCAGAATACTTCTGTTAGTTCCCCTTCTACCACTTTGCTAATGAAACTGCTCAGGCAAAGTTCAGTTAAAATCTTCTAGTTATAAAGGCCCATAGGATCTTGTTAATCATCAATTTATTTGATCTCTCTGTGGCATTTGTTATAGTTGACTAATTTCTCCTTTAAATTCTTTCCTACCTTGGCTTCCACACCGGCACCTCTTTGGATTCTGCTCCTGCCTAAGTATACTGTTAGAGATAAACTGTGGAGCCAGACATAGGTTCAGTTTCTGTCTTTCACATTTGCTAGCTGTGCAACCTAAGGCAAAAAACTGTTTTTGCATCAATAAAACATAACAACAGCGCCACTGGTGTCATGAAAAGAATTAGTGAGACAACCTAGGTAAAACAAAAGTGCCTAGGATATAGTAAATGCTTAATATACCTGAACTACTGTTATAATTATTCCTTCTTCACTTATTCCAGAATTTCTTTGATTCTTTAACTATTGTAGTCCTTCAAGATTTCATTACTTGTTTTTCTTCTGGCAGTACTGGGGATGGAATCCAGAACCTTGCTAGGCATGCTTTTGGCCACTGATCTACATCCCCAGCTCCAAGACTCCATTCTTAATCTCCAGCCTGTGTGTTCTCATGGACTTTACTATATGTTGACAATTCCAAAGTTCTTAGATCCAACCCAGACTTCTTTAGTATTATTATACTTTATGCAAGTAACTGTTTACATGTCTGCCTCCTGCTACTATATTGTGAGTTCTTTGCAGGGGGCAAGGACCATGATTTATTTGTCCTTTTCCTCTAGTACCTAGAATATTACGTGGTGCATGATGCTAGGCCTTCAATAAATGTTTTATAAATGAATAAAATCTTTCTGGACAATGTTACCTTAACCTCATACTAACTTCCTTCGTGTTCTAAGCCATTCATGAGCAGCAATAAATATGCTTAAACAACTCAGGTTATGGATTCCCCTAACCCATTCTAATTCTCAAACAAATGATTTTTGTTTGTTTGCTAGCTCCAAATATACCCCCTGTTTTAAATCAGGGTCTTGGAAGAAACCAATGGTACACTCAAACTGGGTAATTTGTTGAGAGTTTAATAAAGGGCAAAAGATGAGGGCAAGATTTGGGAAAACCATCAAAGAACAATGCAGTATCCCCAAGGCTAACAAAAATCAGGAAGCTGGCACCAATCCTAAACATCAGGAGTAAGGAGAGGGAGTGGTTACCAGACCTGGAGAGAGGGCTGCCTGACAGGTGTTGTGGCCTTTGGTAGGGTCATGCAGTCAATCTCTGGGGATGTGGCCAGGAGGAAGCCAGGGGAATAAACAGCTCAAGCTCATGCTCCCCGCACCTTGAGTCCTTAGGAGTAGAGTCAGAACTTTTAACATGGCTTGGGGTGAGGGGTGAATTATGGGAATGGATATGCTGTATGTCATCCATTTGCCCTATCCAGATCCACTCTCTTTTTTCCATCCTGTCCTATTCTCTGCAAGGCTGATTCATATGGCCTGAATCAGTGGATTTTCTTGGCCTTTGGGTTTTTTTGGTTCCATTAATGGGATATTATGGTTTAATTGTGTCCCCTTCCCAAATTCTTATGTTGAAGTCTTAACCCAAGTACCTCAAATATGACCTTATTTGGAAATAGGGTTATTGCATAAAAAATTAGTTAAAATGAGGTCCTAGGCCCTAATCCAATATGAATGGTACTCTTATACAAAGGGAAATTTGGACATAGATCAATCAACACAGGAAGAAAGCCAAGTGGAGATGAAGGCAGAGATCAGGGGAATACTTCTATAAGTATTGCCAGGAAACCCCAGAAGCTAGGGGAGAGGAATAGAACAGATTCTTCCTCACAGCCTCAGAAAGAACTAAACCTACTGACATTTTGACCTGTTACTTCTAGTCCCCAGAACTGTGAAACAGATTTTTCTCATTTAAGCGGCCCAGTTTATAATTTGTTACAGCAGTCCTAGCAAACTTACAGAGATCAGAGGCTGGGCTACAGAAGTAGCCCATGATTGCAGGCTCCACACCACATTCTCCCTATCCCATTCTTTCTGCAACCCCTTTTGTTTATTTTGATACTGGGGATTAAACCCAGGGGTGCTTTACCACTGAGCTTCATCTCCAGTTTTTATTTTATTTTTAAAATTTATTTTATTTTATTTTTTTAGTTGTAGGTAGACACAATGCCTTTATTTTTATGTGATGCTGAGGATCAAACCCAGTGCCTCATCTGCTTTAAGTGAGCACTCTACCACTGAGCCACAACCCCAACCCCGGTTTTTATTTATTTATTTATTTACTTTGAAACAGGGTCTTACTTAGTTGCTGAAGCTGGCCTTCAACTTGCAATCTTCTTGCCTCCACTTTCTGAGTCACTGGGATTAGCAGTGTGCACCACCATGCCTGGCTGCAACCCTTTTTTAAAATTTTTATTTTTTTGGTACCAGGGGCACTCAACCACTGAGCTACATCTCCAGCCCTATTTTGAATTTTACTTAGAGACAGGGTCTCACTAAGTTCCTTAGTGCCTCACTTTTGCTGAGGCTGGCTTTGAACTCATAATCCTCCTGCCTCAGCCTTCCAAGCCACTGGAATTACAGGCATGGGCCACCGAACCCTGCACAACTCCGTTTAAATAGGTCTCCAGCACCACTTTTCTGATCATGTCCTCTCCAAAGTCACCAGTGATTTATTTCTCCATGGTCAGAGTTGACCTCTATTGTCATCATTCAGTTTGACCACTTTCTATCACATTCTAGGCCCTCCCCCACTGTGAGGTCCATGTCCATATAACCTCCTTCATGCCTTTACTTTGAAATGTACAGATTCCCCGAGGTTGTATTCTCATCCTTCTTCTCTAATTATCCTGAATCCAGAAGTTGCAATTCCTTGGCCAATTTTCCACCTCAGATATGTTTTGTTTGGTCCTTCTCTACACAGAAAGCCGCAATGGCTTCACAGTACCTGATAGATAATATCCAAACTCCTTAGCTTAACACTTAAGCCTGACACTAGACTGCCTTTTCTAAGTTTTTTGGGGTTCAAGAACTTATAACTTATAACCCTAAGACATTAACCCTCTTGTTTTCCAAGTGAATTGGAAACAGAAAAAAATGAATTCTTCAAAGTTGAAGATAACAATATTAAGTTTGGACTAACAGCCATAGTTTTTTCTCTGTCATCATCAGGGTTGATCTCTGGCTAATGATTGAAAACCTGACTTGTCAGCCGTTCCTAAACAGTATAACATATTGTTAGGATTGCAGAAGTTACTTCAATACTTCGAATCCTGGCTCCACTACTTAATACTGGTTGTGTGCCTTTGCTCAAGTTTCTAACCTCATTCTGACCCAGTTTCTTTTTCTGTGAAATCAAATATTTGCCTTGTGGGTTCAAGGATTTAACTAAAAAATGAATGTAACTGTTTTAACATAGTAGTTAGCAGACAGTCAATAAATGGTGCCCATTATTTCTATTACTGCTGCTTCACTTCTGAGTGACAGCGTGAATTATAATGACATAATTCATTCAAGTCATCATTAGAACATTAGATTGAACTGAACTTGGATTCCTACCAACTTCTTTGAATAACCTTGGGAAAATTCCTTCCCTGGGCCTTGTTTTCCTTATCTATAAAATATGAATGTGTTGCCCATAAGAAGGGTGCACAAGCACAGGTGAGATAGGATCTCTATTGTTCTTGACACCTCTAAAGCCCCAGAGAGTAAGCAACAGTGTCTCCCATAGGGCAGTCTAAACTTATTTTCCATTCACTTCTCTTTCAGCGTCATTTTCCTTGTCTGTAAAACGAGAAGCAAAATAAAACAAACACACGTGTTCCTCCTAGCAGGGTTCCTGGCTAGCGGGTAGCACCCTAACTAGCTCCGGTCTTCTTCCTGTCCCCACCCCTGCTTGTCGGCCACCCGCAGGCTCGCCTTTCCCTTCTCTGAACGGCTCAAGTGCTTCGGGTCATTCCACCGAGTTCTGCGAGTAGGTACCATAAATATGATCTACTGTAGGCGTTCCGTGAGCACTTCCTCGGGATCTCTGACCCTCAAGCGTATGAGGCCGATCCCCGCAGCGGGTGAGGGGACCCTGAAGAATGAATCGAAGCGACTCGGGAACGCGGAAGCAACGCAGGCCCCGCCCTACGCGCGCCGCGCCAGCCCCTACCACTTTCAGACTCCTTCTCCCAGGGACACCGGCTTCAGACCTCTCTCCCACCTTTCATTCAAATCACGCTCCTTTACTGCACTCTCGTGAGACCTGTCTTGTACCGGAAGACCCGCCCTCTATGCCATAGAGGCCAATAGGCGAGAACAACGGTTGCGACGGTTGGGTTTTGAAGGAGCCAATGAGCGCTCGGAGCGGAGAGTTTAAGAGGTACTGCTCAGTAGTGCAGAAGCCGGTCCGGGATTGGAACCTGCTCCGGAACGCACGGTGAGGGGCTACTGGGCCGAACCGAGGGATTCGCCGGGGGGTGGGGGAGCTGCTAGGCCGGGAGGGGCTGCAGCCGAGGGCGGCCTGATTGTGAAGCCGGCCGGGAACGAAGGAGCCTCAAGCCTTCCCTGAGCCTGGTCGCCTCTTCTTCCAGGGCTCACAGTGGGCACCAACTCTCAGGACCCCTTTCCCTTCCGGGCGCTCCCATGGCGCAGTTCGTGTTCGAGAGCGACCTGCACTCCCTGCTTCAGCTGGACGCACCCATCCCCAATGCACCCCTCGCGCGCTGGCAGCGCAAAGCCAAAGAAGCAGCGGGGCCGGCCCCCTCGCCCATGCGGGCCGCCAACCGATCCCACAGCGCTGGCAGGACCCCAGGCCGAACTCCTGGTTAGTGGCTTGCGACGGGACACTAGGAAGGAGAGGGGATGGCCCAGAGAAGGCTTCGTGTTCCCTCCAGGAAACTGGTCAGACTGTATGGCTTTTCTTTCCCGGCCCCAGGCAAATCTAATTCCAAGGTTCAGACCACCCCTAGCAAACCTGGCGGTGACCGCTATATCCCCCATCGCAGTGCTTCCCAGATGGAGGTGGCTAGCTTCCTCCTGAGCAAGGAGAACCAGCCTGAAAACAGCCAGACGCCCACCAAAAAGGTATCTTTCTCAGAGAGGAGCAAGGCATGGGATCTGACTGTGGCCTCTGGATCCCACCCTGCCTCACCATCACTCTTATATGCTAGGAGCATCAGAAAGCCTGGGCTTTGAACCTGAACGGTTTTGATGTGGAAGAAGCCAAGATCCTCCGACTTAGTGGAAAACCACAGAATGCCCCAGAAGGTAAGACCTGAAGTTCTTGGTTCTTGGAGGTTGGTGTCAGTCCACTCCCAGGGACTGAGGGAGATGCTGTTTGCTCTTCTCACCTAAGGCTGAGGGCAAGGGAGGTGTCAGTTTTCCCATGGTCTAGACCCACTCCGTTGCCACAGGCTACCAGAACAGACTGAAAGTACTCTATAGCCAGAAGGCCACTCCTGGCTCCAGCCGGAAGACCTGCCGTTACATTCCTTCCCTGCCAGATCGGATCCTGGATGCTCCTGAAATCCGAAATGACTACTGTAAGTGCAGTTTTATTGTTGCCCATCAATGGAGAAAAAAGGACTTGGGGACCAGGCAAACAAGGAATTTCATGCTCTTCCCTTTCTGCCTCTGCTAGACCTAAACCTTGTGGATTGGAGCTCTGGAAATGTATTGGCTGTGGCACTGGACAACAGTGTATATTTGTGGAGTGCAAGTTCTGGTGACATCCTGCAGTTGTTGCAAATGGAGCAGCCTGGAGACTATGTATCCTCTGTGGCCTGGATTAAAGAGGGCAACTACCTGGCTGTAGGCACCAGCAGTGCAGAGGTGCAGGTGAGACTGGTACCTACACTGCAGTTCTATTGACATCAGACCCCAGGGACTTGTCTAGCTAGAGGATATTTATTGCCAAACCTCAATTTCTGATCTTAGTGGTGTTCTCTCTCTAGCTATGGGATGTACAACAGCAGAAACGACTTCGAAACATGACCAGTCACTCTGCCCGAGTGAGCTCCCTAAGTTGGAATAGCTATATCCTGTCCAGGTCAGTGGTTTTTGCTAGACTGGCAAAATCAGTCTGATTTCTGCCTCCCCATGCCTCTGACTGTATACCTCTAAACTAAAGCAGCTCTGGCTTGCATTTGGGGCTACCATAGAACCTGAATTTCTTAATTCTTCCCTCAGTGGCTCACGCTCTGGCCACATCCACCACCATGATGTTCGGGTAGCAGACCACCATGTGGCCACACTGAGTGGCCACAGCCAGGAAGTGTGTGGACTGTGTTGGGCCCCAGATGGACGACATTTGGCTAGTGGTGGCAATGACAACTTGGTCAACGTGTGGCCTAGTTCTCCAGGAGAGAGTGGCTGGGTTCCCCTGCAAACATTCACCCAGCATCAAGGTGCTGTTAAGGTGAGATAGGGGCTGGATTGGGTCTCTACAATTCCAGAGCTATAACCTGGGGAATATTAAGGGGAGATGGGATGTTGAGATTGGATTGGGTTCATCATATAACCTTGATAGCCTCTTGTTTATCTCTAGTACCACTGACCTTGCCTTTATCCCACCTAGGCTGTAGCATGGTGTCCCTGGCAGTCCAATATCCTAGCAACAGGAGGGGGCACCAGTGACCGACACATTCGCATCTGGAATGTCTGCTCTGGAGCCTGTCTGAGTGCTGTAGATGCCCATTCCCAGGTAGTCTTTTACGTATTCCAGCCTGTCCTGTGGTCCGCCTAGGCAACCATGTCTATTCCAATGTCTTCACCAACTCTATACCTTAGTGATTTCCAAACTTCTGACTTAGTACTTATTCATAGCTCCATAAGTCAGATGACAGTCTGACTTATCTCTGGCTGTTATGTCCTCTAGGCACTCCCATCTCCTTAATGTCCCATCTCCCTGAAATGTGTTCTTCCTCCTCTTCCTCTTATATTGCTTCAGAATGACAGAACGTGCTCAGAAGTCTGAGAGGTCTACTAGAATTTTTTATCCTCACCAGAATCACCAGAATCTTTTATCAGTTTTACCTTAGAATATCATTCACATCTGTCCTCTCCACTTCGCCTCATCCTTCCCAGGAAAGGCACAATAAGGTTTCCTCACTGATCTCCAAGCATTTTTTTTTTTTTAACCATACAAGGGATTGAATCCAAAAGAGCTTTACCACTGAACTAGGCGCCCAACCCTTTTTTATAATTTTATTTTTTAGTTGTCAGTGGATCTTTTATTTAAATGTGGTGCTGAGGGCACCACACATACCAGGCAAGTGCCTCTACCACTGAGCTACAACTCCAGCCCTGCCCAGTTCTTTTCTATTTTGAGACAGGGTCCCACTGAGTAGTGGAGGCTGACCTTGAATTTGTGATCCTCCTGCCTCAGCTTCCTGAATAGCTGAAATTCAGCTGTGTACCACCATGCCTACCTCTAAACATTCTTCATCTCCTCCAATCTGTCCTTTTGCTCTCTGATCTGAGTGGTCTCTACTGTCCTCCTTAAACCTATACTAGCTTCCCATCACTTACACCATACAATCCAAATCCATTAGGATATTTGAGGTCTTGAGGGTAGGCCTCTTTGCAGCCACTCTGGCTTCCTCTCCTTTCATTCCCCCAACATGTAGCCTTTACTCTAGAAATGGACTCTAGAGCCAGATGGCTTAAGTTCAGATTCTGGCTCTGTCACCTAACAACTTGTATGCAATTTATCAAACTTCTTTCTGATTATCTATAAAATGGAAAATTGTCTCTAAAAGGGTTTTTTAAGGACTATGACCATTCAAGTGAGTTTGTAGTACCTAGCAGGGTGCCTTATGTTAGAATGGACTCGGTTCTGATTTGAGTATCCTTGGCTATATGTCATACCTACACCAGCTTCTCTCCTCAGGTGTGCTCTATCCTCTGGTCTCCCCACTATAAGGAGCTTATCTCAGGCCATGGCTTTGCCCAGAATCAGCTGGTTATTTGGAAGTACCCAACCATGGCCAAAGTGGCAGAGCTCAAAGGTAGGTGGCAAAATGAAATAAAGCAGAGACAAAAAGCCACATATTGTATGACTCCATGTATATGAAACATCCAGATCAGGTAAATGCAGAGACAAAACGGATTATTGGGGCCTAGGGGAGAAGGTAATGGGAGTGATGAAAATATTTTGAGATTAAATAGTTACAGTGGTTGCACAACTTTGAATACACTGAAAACCACTGAATTGTATATCTTAATTAATCTTATGGTGTACTACACATTTCAAGGGGGCTGTCAAAATTAGAGAACTATGTATATGTCAGTGTTCACATGAATTACTCTTAATTTGCCATAGGTCACACAGCACGGGTCCTGAGTCTGACCATGAGCCCAGATGGGGCCACAGTGGCATCAGCGGCAGCAGATGAGACCCTGCGGCTGTGGCGCTGCTTTGAGTTGGACCCTGCACGACGACGGGAACGGGAGAAGGCCAGTGCAGCTAAAAGCAGCCTCATCCATCAAGGCATCCGTTAATGACAAACCAACCCATCACCTCAGTTTTTTTTATTTTTCTAATAAAGTCATGTCTTCCTTTCTTTTCCTTGTAAGACCTAGGTCCCAGGAGCCTTCCCAGGTCTCTCTCCTGTGAGAGACCTCCTGTTTGTAGTTCCACTCACACATGTACACACAAAGCCTTGGTGGTTTCCTCTGTCACTTTAATTAAGACACAAGTGAGTAAGTAGCCTCCACAGGCTACATTCCCAGCATCCCCCCCCCCCCCCCACATACCCTGACCTTTGGCCCAGAAGCTCCTGCTTCAGTGTGGGGTGGAGGGAGGGAGCCTGGGTCCATAGCGACAGATTATTGCTGACCTCTTCAGTGTGAGGAAAAAGGCCACAAGACCCTGGTGGGGGCCAGCCCTGAGTGTTCCTCTCCCAAGTTTAAAGCAGAGAGGGGGAAGTAAATGTCCAGCCCTTTCAGCCCCCAGCTCTGAAATGCCAGAGGGCAATGAGGCCACATCCCTGGAGCTGTCCGCCAGAAGTGTGAGGAATGGAAGCAGTGGCCCTTGTAGACCAGCTGTGGGGAGGGGGCAGGGCCAGTCCCCTGTTCAGTCCTGACCTCCTGAGCCCTGGTCACAGGTGTAGGTGGGGAGGACACTGAAGGATGCTGCCCAAGGTGCAGTCCTGAGGCACTTAGGTGGGCATCTATCTAGGCCACACTTCTCAGTTAGCCTTGACCTTGGCAATACTGGGAACTCCATTTTGCTGAGGTGCACGGGGCAGGCGCTTGCCTTTGGTATAAGAGTGATACCAGAAATTGGAGAACAGAATGAAGAAGATGGTGCCATACATCCAGATGAGGTGGATAATGACTGGGTACTGGTAGTTGCAGCTGGGCAAGAAGTAGTACTGGGAGATGTGCAGCGAGACCAGGACAAACTGGATCTAGGATAGAGAAAGGCATGGGTTAAGTAAGGACTTGAGGGATAGGGTCAAAGGTGAGATAGGTTACACAAAAAGGTAGGATCTAGACTAGGAATGTTGAGATGGTTATAGGCCAGCAGACCCCTTACCAGCTGAATGGCTGTCATGTGTTTTTTCCACCAAAGGTAAGGTTGAGCCACAGGGCCAAGGGCAGATAATCCGTAGTATAGATACATGATAACATGCACAGAGGAGTTTACCATGGCATGGAAAGACCCCATTCCACCTGTGGGAGAGAGTAAAACAGGGTCAGGAGAGTTGAGCCTCTGGTTCCCAGTGCTCACTCCTCCAATGGCCTTGAATACTTACCTGGGGCAATCTTTACCCCCCACCACCAGCTCCAGGGAAGCACTGAGTGATGAAAAACATGCAAGAAGGTCACCTGCCCATCTTTCTTCCGGAGAATAAAGATCACCTGAAAAAGAGTTCAGGGAGGTGTTCAGAGCCAGGGGCTTTTCTTCCCCACCTCCCCAGTTCATACATCTCATAACTACTTACCGTGTCTATTAGCTCAATGAACTTGGAGAATAAGAAGAGCCAGGCCACTCGAACCATCTGCAAAAAGTCAATCAAGGCATCCTTAGGATCCCCCCCACCCCCCCACTGTTTCAAGAGCCTCTCTAGACTGGGCCATGGGCTCAAGTCATTGATTAAGACCTAACCCCAGCCCCTATTTACTTACCCTAATAGCCTCAGGGCTGTTGGAATAATCCACAGGATCACAGCGCCAGGTGTAGGTACTCAGCCAGCCAGACATCAGGAACTATGAAGAGTGTGAATTAGACCACCAGAGTTCCCTCTCCCAGCAATCCCTCCCATCTCTAGCTGAAGAAATGAATCTGAATCTCTGGAAAGGAGAGATGCTCTGCTCCTCTGGCCCACCCCTTATCCTGCTGGCAGGAATTAAAGCCTAGACATCCAGGCCCACCTCATAGACAATGTAGAGGGAGAGTGCCACCAATGAGAAGTTGTAGGCAATCATGAAACCTCGGAGTTGAAAGGGCTTCCGGTTGGCCATGATGCGAGGTCCAAGTGAGAGGACAAAGTACACGTATGTCAAGAGGATGGAGGTCATTAGCAGGGGGGACTCCATCAGAGGGTAACCCTGGACCCGGGGATCTGTGAATGAATGTCAAGGAGTCAGGAAGGGTCACGGGTTCAAAGGAACCTCACCAGATCTATACCTTTCAGGTCAGGTCACAAAGGGTCAAGGGATTCACAGGGACTCTCCATTAAGACAAAGCCCTAAATCCCAGGATCCCAGGAAAGAAGGGAGGGAAGGGCTGCTGGATAGCATCTCACCTGCACACTTCATCATCTCGTGGTACAAGTTCACAATAGCCTCCATCCTGGCTAGGGACTGTAGGGAGGGATGGGGGATGGACGTCAGACAGGCACACATCCTGTCTGTATCCCCATCCCACACCTGACCCACGAAGATAAGACACAGAACCAGACAACAGGCTAAAGACAGAACAATTCTGATGCCTCATTAAGAAAAGGACAGAAACACAGTAAAAGGAATTGTTGGGGTCTGAGGGAAGAGAAGGCAGTTTGGTGAGGGCATCTGCTCCCACACATCCTGCCTGCCTGGGGGAGAGCTATTCCACTGGTCCTCTCCTCTCCAGACCTTACTCTCCTCTCGATGCCTCTTCAGACAGTTTTACTTCCTGGCCTCCCCTCCTCTCAATTCCAGGTCCCTTTCTGGAGCCCTCCCTTCTCACCAACAGAGAGTTCAACTCCAGTGAACCTCTTCACCCTTTGTCAAAGTCTCTCATCTCCCCAGCTATAAGAGGAAATTCTTCTCTCCAGGGATTCTCCCTTTCAATCTATCCTCCCCTGCAGGGTCCCTCCAGTCCAGTCCCTTCCGGATCTCTCATCTCCCCAGGGTCCCTCCTCTTCCCTGCCAAGATTCTCACCTCCCCAGTCCCTTCCAGAACCTTACTGGTCTGTGGTTCTTCCTCTCCCTAGGTCTCCCCTCTGCCTTCCAGGGCTCTCACCTCCAGCCTCTCTTCTCCTCCCCTCTCCTCTCGTAGGCTTGCTGGGCTCTCTTCTCTTGCAGAGCCCTTCCTCTCTGGCAGCCTGGCTCTTGTGAGACTCCTGCCCCAGCGGCTCCACCTGTCTGACTAGATCTGGCAGCAGCCCCGCCCTCTGCCCGCCCCCGCTGTATTGGGCATGGGATGGAGGGTGGGTCCAGGCCACAGGTCAGTGCCTAGGGGAGCAGGAACCACCAGGATTGGGAAAGTCAAGTAAAGCCCCAAACTCACAACCCACCACTCTGGACCAGCTAGATAAGCTAAGGTCCTAGGTTCTCCAGAAACTTCTCCTGGCCCTGGTCCCAGCCTTGGCCCAAGGATTGCTAAAAATCCACACCCAGCATCCTCTCCCAAACCAGCCATGAATTCTCAGTTTGTCCTACTTCAGAATGGGTACAAGAACCTTTCCTTTCCAGGGAGGGGCAAGGAAGCCAGTGGCATGTGAGGAGGTGGGGAGTGGAGGAGGTCTCCGGAATCTTCCCCTCCCTCTGGGAGGGATCCCAATGGGCTAGGCCCCCTCCCCCTCAAAGGCCAAAGGAATGTTGGGGGAGGGCTCATAGGGACACAAAAACCTCTGCCTAGACCCAGGAGAGTCTGGGACTCTATAAGACTGTCCCAGAGGGACCAGGCAATCTCTCAAAAGCCAGGGCAGCAGATGCTCCCAGTTTCCTCCATCCAGAGGACAACTTGTACAGTGCTCCATGAAGACATACACATTCTGATATCCAACAGAGGCTGCGTGAGCCCCTCTCACACATAAATCTCACAGGGATTCCCCAAACCTGCAGGTCATCCCACCCTTCTGCACACCTACCATGGTCAGTCTCCAAGCCCTGCCTTCTACATACACACTCTTACAACATGCCCCCAGCTCCAAGGACTAGCACACATCCACACGACCTACACACCTCCTACTGGCCACAAATGCCCTGCCTCACACACCACCCCAACAGGCCTCCGTGGACTATGACATGCACTCTCACGCCTGCTCCAGACTGCACTGGTACTGGCACTCACATACCACCCTGCACAACCCCAGGGCACTGTGTGCAAAAGCATATGTTCACTGGCTCAGGCTCAGGTTCAGACCCACGGGGGGAAGTTACTCACACATGGCTGAGCTACTAGGAGGTGAGAGAACATCTGACCACTCACACCATACGCAGACATGCACCTCCCTCATACACGGATATGTTTTGGCGGGCGACACTCCTCATTTCTTCATGCACAGTGACTCTGTTGGTGGCCTGTGCTGTGGTAGGGCCTAAGCCTTAGGCGTGTGCTCTCACACAGCTCCACTCTGGCACATGCGAGCTCCTTATCTCCCTCAACCACCAGCCTCAAGTTCACCCCCACGCACTGGAACAGGCACCCTGGAGGTCAGGAGGGACTCCAGGCCTCTGGGAAGGACCTCTCCACAAGCTTGAGGAAAATCTGGGTGTGTCCCTCACAGGGGAGCTTAGCCAGTTCCTTCCTTCCTTCCCTTAAGAAGGATGGAAGGGAAAAGGATACGGCAAAGGAAGGGGAAGGGGAAGGGAAGAGAGGAGGGGAGGGAGAGGGCCAAGACCAAAAGGCGGTGGAGAAAGGCCTAGGTGTGAGCAAACGGGGGGCCAGGGCGGAGGGGGGGCGGGGAGGGAGGGAGCTGGTGAAGCCCGGCCCCAGGAGCTGGGACCTCCCACCCACTCGCCCCAGGAACAGCCTCGCCCATAGCCTGGGCAGGGCAGGGCAGGGCAGGGCAAGGCTAGCCGGGCCTGCCAGGCAGGGGGCGCCGGCACGTGGGGAGCTGTGGAAGGTCCAGACTCACCAGTGGGGGCCAGGCGGACAGCGGTGGAGGACTCGGGGGGTGGGGGGAGCAGGGCCAGAGAGCAGTCCCCAGGGCTATCCTGCCTGCCACTTCCTCATCTGCTGGGCCGACTTTCTGTCACCAGAGGGGGAGGGGGCGGACCGGGCGGGGGGCGCCTGCTGATTGGGCGACCAGCCCAGGCAGGAGGGGCCGTCCAGCGCCGGCTGGGCCGCAGGGGCGGGGGCAGGGGCGGGCCGCCAGATCCCGGGGCAGGAAGCACACCCAGCCCGGCTCCCCACCCCTTCCCTCGCATCTCCCAGCCGGCCGCGGCTGGTGCCTGCGGCCTGGTCCACCTTGGGAGCACCCTGCTTCTTCTGACGTCCAGCACCCGACGGGTCCCATCCTCGGCCCTCTGACCAGTCCACCAACAAACACCCGCCGTCTGACGGCAGGCCCTGCTAGGACTCTGGGAGGAAGTTCTAGGATTCAGCCCTGTTTTCGAAGGGGGCCGGCCGGCCAGGCGGGCTAGGGGTTTATTGGGGTGTCTGGGAGGGCTTAGCGGGAGGGAGCAACTGGCTACCGATGCCTTCTCACCGATCCTATAAACTTGGATGAGTCCTAGCATTAGGAGCCGCCAAGAGGATTTCCTGGAACGGAGGTGGGAGAATACAAGTGGCCCCGGGCAAGAACTGTGAATCACTGGCTAAACTGGCCTTCAAGGTAGTGAAAGGGGAAAAAGGAAGTGAAGTTGGCTGTGACATAACCTAGAAGGTCTTGAAGACAAAGGGGCAGTCTGATTTTTATTCTAGAAGCAGAGGAGAAATTGAAGATTTCAAGACTATTATCAGGTTTGTGTCAATCATTCATCAAATATACATTGACTACCTACAATGTGTAAGACCATGTTAGGTTCTGTTGACAGTGTCCCTGGACTCAGGGTTTATAGTCTAGGTGACCAAGGAGGGTAATGAAGAGAGACCAAGTGAAAGACAACAGCAGGACCTGGGAAGAACCTGATAAAATTGGAGGAAACACATTGTCTATGTGGAAACTTCTCAAGAGGTACTATATCTCTCCGTATTTAATTGTCAGCTCTATACTACCTGGCCTGATCCTCTCACATTCATCAACTAGACTTAACTATTCTGGCCAAGAACCAGGTTTCATGAAACCTAGTTTCATGAAACCTATACCTCCAGCAGCTCCTGGCCAGTGCTTTGCATACAGTGATCCAATAACTGCTTGTAAAATTGGATGCTGTAAATACGGACAGAATTGAGAGAACTCAGGAAAGATGGTAGCTGGGAGGAATACTATGTTCATAAATGATGGGATGTAGCCACATGGAATTTTCATCCTAGACTTTAGATAAGAAGTAAAAGCTAAAGTACAGATCTAACCCAACCCATTAGTACCTGCACTTTTAAGAAAATGGCAAAAGAATCCAAGTATTCAAAGAACTCATACTCCTTAGCATTGTATGCTAGGGTTCAACCTGATCTAGTCCCTACCTAGTCTTCTTATTCTACCTCTGTCACCCTCCTGAGTCATACCAGTGCTTTACCATCCCCCAAGATGTCTTTCATACTCCCTTACCCTCAAGCCTTACCCACTGGCTCAGCACAAAAGCACAGTCCAGTCTCCCAGCCAGTAAGTCACTCTCTCTTCCTCCCATGATTTTACTCTAATGTAATTTTCAACCCCAACTACAAGCTCCTCTCAACAGGGGCAATACTTGAGTCATCTCAAGTATCAATACAATCTATCATCTGACCCACTCAGCTGAACCTTTATAATGTTTTCTGAGTGGATGTTAAAGTGAATGGGACAATGTGAAAAAGGAAAGAGACCAAGGGACCCAGAATCAGGTAGAAAGGGAAATAATTCAAAAACCTTTCCACTCCCCTCCACTTGAAAGCAGTATTCATGGAGCCAATAAATATTTATTAAAGTCCTAATGTCTTCCAGATATATTCTAGTGGCTTTGAGGTCACACCTGACTCCAAAGTCCTGAGTTTTAATGTTTCAATTGGTACTTATATGACCTTAGGTAAATTTTGAAACCTCAATAAAATGGGAACCATAACAACACTTATTTCATAGAATTATTGTGCAGATAAAAGGAGATAAACCATGTGAAATACGTAGCATTGTTTCTGTCTCAACATTTAACTGGCAAAGTGAGGAAGAAGCCCATATATGAAGAAGGTACATATTTGTATATGGATTTGTGAGCATTCATTTAAAATATTTCCTAAACACTTACTGTGTGCAAAGAACTGTTCTGAGAAAGCTACTGAGGGGTTTTAAGTGTCAGTCATGAGAGTCCACTAGAGATAGACAAAGCAGACTATTATAGATGATGAGACTGTTCCAGAGGCCAGACAAAGTAGTGACAGGATACTTCTTCATCTATAGATTTATTCACCTGGATTACATTGGTAAATGACCATGGCAAGTCCTCAGTAAATGTTGAGTGCCTACATGAATGAATGTACTCAAAGACACTTTATTCAGCCTTGTCCTGCTCCTGAGAGAAAGCATCTTCCAATATTTAATATAGACTCAAGTCTACCAAGTGGCATTTCCATGGCTCTGTAGTTCCTACAAACACTCACCATGGGGAAGATGAGCATATCCATGAACAACTAGAGTAGTATGTGGTAAGTTTCAGCTGAAGAGATAAACCCAGAAGGTTATGAAAGCATTGGGGAAGGGGGGGGCGCCTTCACACAGCATGAAGGTTACTTTCAAAGACTTCAAAGAAATGACACTAAAGTTGAACATTAGAGCACTTTCTAGATGGCAGGGAAAGGCTTTCCAAGCAGAGGGACACACACACACAGAAGCAAAAAATATGGCAGGTTTGGGCAACTCTGTAAGTAGTTTGGTAGCGCTCCAGCTCAGAGTGCATTGGTAAAGGTAGGAAATGTAGGCAGGAGTTAGTTTATGAAGAGCCTTGTAGCCCTGGTAAGACGTTTGGATTTTATTGTTTATATTTTCAGCAACAGCTGGGAAACTTTTAAAATATCAGCATGTGGTTCTCAACCCCAGATTGATCCTAAGGGTTGTTTCCAATAGGAAGAGGCTGGAGCATGTTTATATGCTGTGTGGAACAAGGCACTGAACTCCAACACATGTGGCGGGATTGGTCTTTGGCTAAGAATACCTTGCAGACTAAAATATGTGGAAGAGAAGAGTGTCTGTCAGTGGGTTGGAAGGAGACTGAGGGAGTTTTTATTTGAAGAAGTCTACTTTCTCTTTTGTCAGAAGGTGAGGCATTCGCTGAATAGGATTATAGGATGAGGAGTTTCTGAAAAATGGTAAAAGTCTGGTACAGCTGATGGCAAGCACTGGGCAGAGATACTGGCCCCTCTAGATGGGAGACTGTGAAGAGGATGCTCCCCAACCCAGCTCAGAAAATGGGAGGCAGGACAGCAGAAATGGGACTCTTTGGAATCTGCAGGAAAACTAGGTTCAAGGCCATGCTTTCTTCTACCTGGATACAAGGAAAACCAAACCACAGTGGGCTAATGAACTAGGGAAACTGAATCCACAGGTTTGATAAGGATGAAGGCCCACGGTATGGGGAAAGAATACTCAGTCCAACAACTAAAATTCCACATCCTTCCTAGAGTCTTCCTGACTCATGGGAAGTGAAGTGATGACTTCAAAGTTCCACCCTGTGTGACTCACTCTCCATTCACTTCTCTTGAAGGGGCCCTTCTGTTTTCTTTTCCCAGAAGGTAAACCAGTGGAGTTTCTCCAAGGGTCCAGCCTGTATGAACTCTATCAACTCTGCTCCCATGATTGTTTGAGGCTCTGTATTAGCACAAAAATTAAAAGGGTCAGAGAAGTAGAAATGACAGGAAGAAATGGAAAAAAAACATTCCTACATGTTCATGAGTGAGTGGGTGGAACAGTGGAAGGAATAGTAAATGGGACTCACAGGCAGTCGGCTAAGAACAACAGGACCTAAGGGTTTTGGGTGAGGGCCATAGAAGTCCAGGTGGGAATGAATGCAGCTTCTGGTTGGCATTCAAACTTCTCCCATCCCCATCCTGTAAAAGACAAGGAGCATTTCCTACATAGTACCCACACAGAGAAGCTGAGGGGAGGGTAAGCCCATGAGGACAGGGAGCAAAGTTGAGGGCAAAGGGTTCACCAGTTAATTATTCTGTGCATCCCTGGGCCTCAGTCAGCTAACTGGCGTCCTCTGCCTGAGATCTTGGCTGAAGGGACTGGGTCTGGAAAGACATCTGGCCAGAAGGGAGAGACTATATGTAACACTCATCATTTGGTATTTGA